TCATCTATTTATCATGCTTTTTCTGGTTTTCCCCCCACCCTTAGGCAGTTTTACGCTTGACGAACTCAAGCTTGAAAATGTTTCCTCACACATTAAGAAGTCGCTGATAAGTTCTCCTCAGATATTGTCAAGTGTTGATAAGATCAGCTCATGTCTCAAAGCCATGATACGAAAATTACAGAGCGACTCAGCAGGGTGATAGAGGTGAAGGAAAGGGCAATAAATAAACAACCCTTCCTTATATGGTATATTATATAATTCTTTACATTTCAAAGACATTTATGACTCAATATAAAATAAGGAGATGCAAACATATGATTGCAAATGAGACAACTACCCATAGACCAAAAGGACAAAGATATGAATAATTACAGGTACAGCCTTCAACAATAAGCAAAACCCATTCTGTATAGTAAGCTTTAAAAGTACCAGGAATAACAATATCTTAAACAATTCAAAAGAGAAAACCAACAGCCAATTTCATATTACAAGAATATTTTTTGCATACAATTCCATAATTTAAAATAATATCAGAAAAACCCTTACTGAGCCCCATAAGGATGCTACCACACACCTACACCAGGGAAATTGATCAGTGATCAAGTGTTTTGAAATGAACACTTTTTTCCAGTATTATTGATCTGAGTTTGACATGCAGGATTTACATGGGAATTGATTACTTGATGAAAAGTAAAAAGACAATATCCACTGATGCAGCATGGGGAGTCAATATTCACCAGGAAATATCAATATCATAACAGTAAATAGTATATCTCAAACAAATTATTCCACTTCTAGTCATTTCTAATTCAGAATTTATTTTTCAAATAAAATGCTCCGCAGGGCGCAGCTTGATACGACCGCAGAGGTCGAACCCTGAACAGTTGGGGCAAGTATGGACACAACATTCAAGCTTGATACAGCTCTGAATTTGGATTGTGATTTAATATTTGACACAGCATAGGTTTCTGACACAGAATGAATGTGGTCTAAGAACTTAAAAATTTTAAATTGGACATTCACCTATTATGGTCCAATATCCAAAATCTAAATACATGGTTAGATTCAGCACATCAAAGAACCCCAAGAATTCAATTTTTGATGAAATCAAACAAAGTTTAATTTTGGACCCTTTTGATCTCAATGTGGAAAAAGTTGATAACGGGGCCCAAAAATCAAAAATATAAATACATGGTTAGATTCAGCATATCAAAGAACCCCATATATTCAATTTTTGTTGAAATCAAACTAAGTTTAATTTTGGACCCTTTGGACCTTTATGTAGACCAATTTGAAAACGGAACCAAAAATTAAGAATCTAAATACACGGTTAGATTCGGCATATCAAAGAACCCCAATAATTCATTTTTAATTTTGGACCCCAATTTGGACCAACTTGAAAACTGGGCCCATAATCAAAAATCTAAACACATATTTAGATTCAGCATATCAAAGAACCCTAAAAATTCAATTTTTGTTAAAATCAAACTAAGTTTAATTTTGGACCCTTTGGACCTTTATGTAGACCAATTTGAAAACGGAACCAAAAATTAAGAATCTAAATACACGGTTAGATTCGGCATATCAAAGAACCCCAATAATTCATTTTTTGATGAAATCAAAAAAGTTAAATTTTGGACCCTTTGGACCTCAATGTGGACCAATTTAAAAACGGGGCCCAAAATCCAAAAACTTAATACACGGTTATATTCAGCATATGAAAGAACCCCAAATATTCAATTTTTGTTGAAATCAAACAAAGTTAAATTTTGGACCCCGATTTGGACCAACTTGAAAACTGGGCCAATAATCAAAAATCTAAATACATGGTTAGATTCAGCATATCAAAGAACCCCATATATTCAATTTTTGTTGAAATCAAATAAAGTTTAATTTTGGACCCCGATTTGGACCAACTTGAAAACTGGGCCCATAATCAAAAATCTAAATACATGGTTAGATTCAGCATATCAAAGAACCCCATATATTCAATTTTTGTTGAAATCAAACTAAGTTTAATTTTGGACCCTTTGGACCTTTATGTAGACCAATTTGAAAACGGAACCAAAAATTAAGAATCTAAATACACGGTTAGATTCGGCATATCACAGAACCCCAATAATTCAATTTTTGATGAAATCAAACAAAGTTAAATTTTGGACCCTTTGGACCTCAATGTGGACCAATTTAAAAACAGGGCCCAAAATCCAAAAACTTAATACATGGTTAGATTCAGCATATTAAAGAACCCCAAGAATTCAAGAATAAAACCCCATTGAAATTGATCAAGAAATAAGCAATTTATACAAAGTATATTCTTTTGCACAATACTGTGCAATTGAATATTTCTTGCTATTGCGCAATACTGTACAATTGACAATTTCTTGCTATTGCGCAATATTGTGCTATTGGATATTTCTTGCTATTGCGCAATACTGTGCAATTGAAGATTTCTTGCTATTGCGCAATACTGTGCAATTGAAGATTTCTTGCTATTGTGCAATACTGTGCAATTGAAAATTTCTTGCTATTGCACAATACTTATTGTATAATAAATTACACATCCTGTTTGGTGTGTATTTCCTACCATATCATTATTATATGCTTTTAAATATAAATCAGAAATAACCAACTTAAAATGGAAAATTTTAAAAGAAAAAAAAAAGGAAAAAAAGAAAAAAAAAGAAACCCCCCCCCCCCAAATTTTTTGAACCCCCTTATGATTCATCACCCCCAAACTCAATCCCAGCCTTCCCTTTGTGGTATGGTATCTTGCAGTACAATTTCAGAGAGATCCATACAATTGAACACAAGTTATTGTCTGGAAACTAGAAAAATGCTTATTTTTGGCCCCTTTTTGGCCCCCAATTCCTAAATGTTTCGGGCAATTACCCCCAAACTCAATTCCAGCTTTCCCTTTGTGATATGGAACCTTGTAGTACAATTTAAGAAATATCCAAACACTTACACACAAGTAATTGTCATGAAACTAGAAAAATGCTTGTTTTTTGCCCCTTTTTTGGCCCCTAATTCCTAAAATTTTGAGGCAATTACCCCCAAAATCAATTACAGCCTTCCCTATGTGATATGGAACCTTGTGGTACAATGTCAGAGAGATCCATACACTTACACACAAGTTATTGTCTGGAAGTTACAAAAATGCTTATTTTTGGCCCCTTTTTGGCCCCTAATTCCTTAACTGTTGGTACCATAACCCCCAAAATCAATCCCAACCTTCCTTTCGTGGTATTGAACCTTATGGTAAAATTTCATGGAGATCCATTAACTTAAACTAAAGTTAGAGTGCGAAAACCAATGTGTCTTCGGACGACGCCAGACGACGCCGACGACGACGACGACGCCAACGTCATACCAATATACGACCAAAAAATTTTTAATTTTTGCGGTCGTATAAAAATGCTTATTTTTGGCCCCTTTTTGGCCCCCAATTCCTAAACGTTTCGGGCAATTACCCCCAAACTCAATTCCAGCTTTCCCTTTGTGATATGAAACCTTGAAGTACAATTTCAGAAATATCCAAACACTTACACACAAGTTATTGTCATGAAACTAGAAAAATGCTTGTTTTTTGCCCCTTTTTTGGCCCCTAATTCCTAAAATTTTGAGGCAATTACCCCCAAAATCAATTACAGCCTTCCCTTTGTGATAAGGAACCTTGTGGTACAATGTCAGAGAGATCCATACACTAACACACAAGTTATTGTCTGGAAGTTACAAAAATGCTTATTTTTGGCCCCTTTTTGGCCCCTAATTCCTTAACTGTTGGTACCATAACCCCCAAAATCTATCCCAACCTTCCTTTCGTGGTATTGAACCTTATGGTTAAATTTAATGGAGATCCATTCACTTAAACTAAAGTTAGAGTGCGAAAACCAATGTGTCTTCGAACGACGACGACGTCATACCAATATACGACCAAATAATTTTTAATTTTTGCGGTCGTATAAAAATTACTTGATATTTAGAAGAAACGAAAAATTCAGCAATTTTTCCATTTGTAAAGGGGCATAACTCTAGAACGGTAAATGTGACGCCACCAAAATTCAAACTTGATCTGTGTTTTGTGGTAATAAGCATTGTGTATAAGTTTCATAACATTTGGTTGAGACAATCTAAAGTTAGAGAACGGAAACCAGTTTTTGGACGTACGTAAATACAGACGGACATGGGTAAAACTTAATGCCCCCTCCGTTATGGTGGGGGCATAAAAAATGTGTGTTGTCCTACTAAGCATACCCCCATTCCTAATACAGGAAGTAGGTATTTGACAAGATACAAAAGGTAATCACATATTACAACTCATCACTGTCAAATTGCTGCCAAATATGAAGTCGTTGTGTTTAGCAGTTAGTGAGAAAAGTGTGACGAAAATATTTATTGGGACAGACAGACCGACAGACATTGCAATAAATCCCCAATCTTCGAGTGGAGGTTTAACAAGTGAAACTGTGAGCTACTGCTCACTGATACCCCCAGCCCAAATACTTGACAGTAAACAGGAAGTTGTTGAGTGATGAATCTGAAAATGCATCACACAGTATAGCTGACTTATATAAACACTGAGACCAAATTTCAGAAATCCTTGTAATGTAGTTCCTGAGAAAAATGTGAAGAAAATTTTTAACTTGGATGTCATGTGTATAATGATATATGTGTTCGGTAAACAGGAAGTTGTTAAGTGATGAATCTGAAAAAGCATCACACGGTATAGCTGACTCAATATGCATGGGACAGACGGACGGACGGATGGTTGGATGGACGGACAGACAGAGGTAAAACAGTATACCCCCTTTTAAAGCCGGGTATAATTAGTACATGTTAACTGTATGACATCTTGTGTTTCCATAACAGAGATATTGCTTAGTTCACTAGGCACTCCACTACAACTCACCATTCTAGTTTCATGATCAATCATAACAATATGTGGTTTGACATGTCTGTGCATATACCCATACTGTGACAATAATCTAATGACTTACCTTTCTAGTTTCATGATCTATCATAACATTATGTGGTTTGACATCTCTGTGCATTATACCCATACTGTGACAATAATCTAATGCCTGAAACGAGAGAATCTGGTCAAACACTCACGAACAGGTTGCAAATAATATGGTTTATAATTTGAAATGGCATATTATGCACACTGAGTTCACCACCCAATTTGAGTTGGGTTTGCATTGCCAAATCTTAAGTTTTCTCTGTAGGGTTTTCTTGTTGAAAATGGCTCTGGGGAAAAGTTAAAAGTTATTAACTCAGTATTTCTTCTTTACTTCCAATTGAAATATCTTTAGAAAATTTTTTACTTTTTATTGAATGCTTTATCTGTTGCTTGGTAAGAACTTTACTATTATAGCACTTTGTCTCTTTTTTTCCTTTTAAATGAGATATTTCTGACAGAAGAAACATTTCAAGTTTCAGTAAATCATAAAATGTAATAACAGTGTTGTACATAATACTTCAGCTTTGAATATCTATACTGACCTTGAGTAATTCAAATAAATAAAATCTGATGTCATAATCTGTAAATGTCTGATACAATTGCTGAAATGAAAATGGATTATTCAAAATATAGTTAAATAAAATCTCGACAACAAAGGTCAAGGACAAATGAATCACTGTCAGTGTCAGATCAATATATGCTATTTAAAGATAATTCATTATGAAATATGACTAGACTTTTCACAGTTTTGTAAACTGTTAATAATTATGACTAATCAATGATCAGACCTTGTGCAGAGCATGAAAATTAATTTAAAGGTCAGTGACAAATTTGTGTTAACACAACTGAAATTTATAATAAGATATGAAAGTGTTTGTTAGCTGCTGGAAGTCATACATGCTTGTGAAAAAGATTGAAACATGTTGCCAAAAAAATAAAACCCAAAACAATTCTAAAGAATTAGCAGTAAAATGGAATTTTTTTTTTTCATTTGACAAAACGGTCCAGTCTTTTTCTTCATCTCAAAATTTCCCATTAGGTCCTTTCTTCTTTTTTTTTTAACCCCAATCAAGGTTGAAAAAATTTTCCCAATTATGATCTATTGCTCTTAAAAAGAAATCAGAATCAAAGAATAACTTATGGTCTCTACTGACTTACTTTAAAGTCTGTATTGTTAACATGTTCGAATACCAATGCTGGTGTTCTTGACTGCAAAAAAAAGAAAATGCAATGAATGATATGGGAATCGTTAATGCACAAATCAAATTATCTGAAAGTTATGAAAATATTTGAAAACTTTGTTTTTTATTGAACATATGGAGCATATAATTCAAATAAAGAATATGTTGTCCTAGTTTACACAGCTAATACTGTACTTGATAAACTGCAAGTTTAAACCAACAAAACATAAGACAGATATGTTAAGGATATGGATATCCATTAGACCAATTTCCGATACTTAGATTTGGCTCACTTGAGACTGTGTGAGCTTATGCCTTTACTTGAATTCAGTCATCAAACTCTTTTCTACAAACTTAGTTTGAATGGTCCCTGTGACCTTTCTCAAGGATATGGCAAACTTAACTACTGACAGACATTCCTAGCCAATGTTACTATAAATAGACATTCCTAGCCAATGTTACTATAAATAGAAAAGGATAAACACATATTCATCTGCATTACATCCTTTATGTTCAGGTATGAGAAGCAAAGGTTGATGAAGAGAAAGTAAAGTTTTAAGTTTCCTGATAGTTCCTTTCAGCATTGTGTTAAATGGTGTATTTTAAAGTAGCCAGTTTTACTCTAGATTGAAATGTTTTATAAGAAACATTTATTACATCATTGATTTAGCCTATTTGTTTAGGTAGAAATATTACTTAAATTGGTTGACATTCAAATAAATGTCTGATGATGAAACGTTCTAACATCCAATACCGCCTACACTGCGGAACATTGAATTACATATCTTGGAGGAACTCATGGAAAAGTTCACAGGAAGGTCTTTTTGTGTCAAACAGCTTGGCCTATCAAAACTATACTTAGCCTGAATCATTGTATCAGTATAATATCTGTTTGCATCAAGTCAGCCTTTACCCATATCATTTCCTTTTAAGTTGTTAGGTCTAACCTTTGGAGACAGAAAAAGACAAAAAAATCTCTGAGAATCAGTGTTAACAAAAAGTGAAAATTTCTCCATTGGATTATCTTCCTAACATTTTCCTTACTACTGGGTCTTTAACAATCGCCATTAACGATATTATATTAGTTCCACCACGCAGGTTTTCCAAAATCTTAATCTCTCTCTTTATTTTCTTCTTCTTTACTGGCTGAAAATAAAACCCAAAAATATAATAACAGCATGTACACAAAATGTATCCTATGCAACTCTGCATACCTGTCAACCTCTGAAAATGAAAATAAGAGGGCATTGTTTTAGAAAGACATTTAATTAATGACAAATATTTATATAATTAACAAATACTAAAGTGAATATTTGTAGGAAACTCAGTGGTATATGTATATATGTTATAGTATATTAACAAAACCTCAAAATTGAATGGAAAAAAAGTTGGTACGCGTTATGACATTGAAGAAGAAAATGTCATTAATTAAATGTCTTTCTAAAGAAATGCCCTCTTATTGTTTTATTCGCACTACTTTTAATTAATGAATGTCATAAACCCCAGCTATACATGTAATTAGAAATCAATTATAGCTTATGTGCTCCTATACACAGGAGGAAGATAAATGGAAAGAAGTTAGTGTGTTTCTTTTCAGTGCATATCTAGAGCATACTAATTTGATTTAAAGCTTTTACATTTAGGTGATATTAAAATCATTCTCTCCAACAGAAATGTATCAGACAGAGTTCGCGAAAACTTATTTTGACCCGTCGGTCATGGGACCGACAAAGCATGATTATTTGTCAGTCCTACAAAATTTTTGCCAGTCCTACAAAATCTGTCAATTTTATCCTGAAATAAAATTATTAACATATTTTATCGAAAAATAACTTTATTAATATTAGTTTTATTCTTTGCACCCACAGGCAAATTAACAATGAAGGACCAGTTTAGGTCTTCTGATTGTTCTTATTTAAAGTCATCTTCACTATCCATTTCATCATCTGAATCACTTTCTCGGCTGTTACAGTATTTGTTTGCTCCATTGTAGGGTTCAATCGCCGATTGTTTGCCAGGGATGGCTCTATGAACAAATTTAGTAGGCCACGTGTAGATCGCAGCTTTGGTTTGTTTATAATAAATCCGTAAACCAGTACCGGATATTGGCAGCGGGTACATCTGATAACCGATGTAAACACTTATTGGAAACAGTTGCGGTACTTCTAATAACCGATGTAAAAAAGTGCCGAAATATGCACTACAACGGCCGTTTTTACATCGGTCATCAGGACCGGCACTAGCCTTCAAAATACTGGTCCGAGCCTCATTTTGACCGACAGGACCGACCATTTTCGCGAACTCTGATAAGAAGGTTCAAATTGTTTTAAAATGATTTTTATAAGATAATTGATATTTGCAAACGGCAAATCTTTTAACCAGGACATAGAATTGTATTTCCAGCTTGGCTGGCTTCAACTTTCTGGGGTACAAATAATGAGACAATTCTTGAATTGTTACTTTTCAAATAAATGTAATATTTTGATAGCTGTCATCGGCACGGTAAATAAGCAAATCCTAAGTTTTGACTTTTCAATTGTTTTAGTACCTTGTCAAAGAAAAAAGCTGATAAAACCGAACATATATTTGACTTCTAAATACCGGTCAGAAATACGGGTGAAAATGGGTCATTTTCTGAAATTCCCGGGTTATGTGAAAAGGGAAATTCATGGGTGTAACCCGCAGAATACGGGTCGGTATGACTGAATATAAGTACAGTATTTTGTCATGCTGGGCCTTTTGTAGCTTACTATATTGTATGGGTTTTGCACATTGTTGGTAGACATACAACGCCCTGTAGTTGTTAACAACCTAGTCCATTGGTCTCTGATAGATAGCCGTCACATTGGCAATCAAACCACACCTCCTTACTTTAATAATGTATCTTTTAACGAATCTTAATTAACAACAAAAAATCAGAGGCACAAACAGGAAAACATGTCACCATCCTACCCAGACACATTATTTAGACTCTTGGGCCAACCAGTCTTTGCTCTTACTTCTTATACGTGTTTAACGGACAAGTAGCAAATAGCAATTTTCAAGTTTGTGGTTTGACCAGGCCAAAATCTACTTCATGATCCTCACTGAGGGCAAGTGAACATACTTCAACGAGACCACCAAGGCAGTTTGAAATTAACTCAAACAGCAATCAGTGATATTGTTTGCCTCAAATTACAGCCGAAATTCGGCTTTTTCCCCTAGAGAAAATTCCCAATTACTTAAAAAAATGGCTTAAAATTACTCCCAAAAAGTTTTACATTTTCCCCAAACAGTGATGGCATTGGTAGTAATGTTTGTAAATATCGTATTCATGTTATTATTTTGATATTAGAAAGCACTTTTGAGATCCGGTTTACTGATCAGAATCATCATGGTGTTTGTAACACATGTGGTTTTCAATGCATTGAGTACCATCATTGCTTCTGTTTCTTTCCCCTCTCCGAAAAGTACCTTTCAAGTTGAAAATGTCTGACAACCAAAATATACATGAAAACAACACTGCAAAAAAGACAGCAAAGGTCAGCAAAAAATCGGAGATGTGTTTAGAATAAAATATACAAATTTCCCAATTTCAGTTAAAAAATATGCATTTTTCCCAATAAAAAACGGTAGAGGTAGTTTTGAAAAAAGACAACAATATCACTGGCAATGTGCCATCTTCTGCTTTTTAAATTCCTTCTGCCCTATAGCTAGCTCAGACAAATTTATGATTTCCATGTAGAGATGTATATAAATACCATACCTTTAATATTTTGATGACACATTTTTCATTATTTGTGATGTTGACAGCTTCAAAGACTTCACTGTACTTTCCTCTGCCAAGTTTCCTGACAATCTGATAATCATCTTGTTGACTGAAACACATAATAAATAACAAAAAACTCATTATAAGTTCAATTAATGGTCATGGCCTTAACAGAAAAATAACAGATGTTCACTGTTGATATGTTTCAGACAAGCAAACATACTACTATGTACATGATGTACAGTACATGTATATCAAATGATTTCATTCTTTTATTACACACTTGAGTCTTTTTAACACAAGTTGTTTCCCTTTGCTTATTGTTAACTGGTTTCATAATGAACAACCTGGATTACTGACCCTGCAAAGCATTATAATTAAACTGTAACATGCACTAAGACATAAAGACGTTTTAACCAATTTATATTGAATAGAAATCTTGATACCAAAGGTTTTTGACTACATGTAGACACAAGGTGAGGGTTTTTTAATTTGTTGCGTTATGGATCCGCCAACTGATTTTTTTCTGAAAGATAAAAATATTGAAATTTTCATGCTTTTTCTTTATTCCAGCCTACTCTGCAAAATTCCTTTCGCTGAAATATTAACAAAAATATCTGCATAGTAACATCAATTTTCCTCAAATAATGTGAACTATCGAATCATATTTTATTATCTTTTTTAAATATAAACAGAAAAGAAAACACACAGTCTGTTGTGATAAATAAAAATCTCAAAATAATCTTTTGCATTCTAAATCTAAAATTTCTAAAAAAAAGACAACAGATCTGGAAATGTTGTTTACAGAAATAATTTAACTGAACGAATACACATGGTCAAAGCTATTACAATAAGTATTTTTTTCTTTCTTGTAATAATTCCATAGGATTTTATTTTGAACCATTTTGGGACTGGCTGTTTTATCCTCGTATGAAATGGACCCATCCAAACAGGAAAGTTGTGTATCAAAAAGTAATAGAAGATGACAACTAACAATTGGGAATTTTGTTGTTACAAAGGTGTTTTTAATTTTTTTTGTCCATTTGGATATCAAAAGCAAAAAGGATGAAAACAAATCTTTCACATTGGTTGTGTCTACTGGCTGGTAAAATGCACATAATTAACTTCCCCTTTCTACCAAATTATATGAAGATATATGACATAAATTGTATTTTATAACAGCTGAGAAAAAAAAAATCTATTTTCTAAAATTGAAGGAATGAAACAAGAACACAAATATTGTAATAAAGCTTAAGAACACAGAAATTCCATACATTTAGATGTCATTTTAATTTTTGTCTGACTGGGACCACCAGATTTGTAGTCTTGGTGGTCCTAATGTCCCCAAGCTTAACAAGAATTTGTAGAATTATATCACTGTCTCATACCTATCAATACTACTATAAAATTGAGAATGGAAATGGGGAATATTTCAAAAAGCCAACCACCCGACCAAAAAGCAGACAACAGCCGAAGACCACCAATGGGTCTTTCAATGCAGCGAGAAAATCCCGCACCCGGAGGTGGTCCTCAGCTGGCCCCTAAATAAAATTGTGTACTAGTTCAGTGAAAATGGACGTCACACTAAACTCCAATACATATAAATGAACTAATATTAAAAAACATACACGACTAACGAAGGCCTGAGGCTCCTGACTTGGGACAGGCGCAAAAATGCGGCGGGGTTAAACATGTTTTGTGAGATCTCAACCTTCCCCCTATACCTCTAGCCAATGTAGAAAAAAGAAACACATAGCAATTACTATACATGCTTAAGTAAAAGCTAGTATCCTGAGTTAGGCTCTATAGATTTTTAAGGTGTTGTCAGTACCCTGGCTACCTGTGCCTGTGTTCTAAATGTATTTACACTCAGGGCGGACCAGACAAGGCTTGGGACCACTTTAATGTAATGTGTACCAACGTAAAGCAATGAAACTTTAAATAAATGGTGTTTGAAACGATGAAGAACCATACTGCCATGACGTCCATAGGATGTATCGCCCATACCATGAAAAGATGCATAGGACAATATCGTCCATACTTTGTTAAAACGCGTTGTCCATGGTTTTCTTTTCGGAAATGAATTTTATTAATAAAGTATTGTGATATTTACATGTAGATAGTTATTATAACTTGTAAATGTATTATGCTAAATTAACATTATTTGTCGTGTTTTTATAAGTAATACATGGTAATACACTTGAAATACGCATTATATATCATATATAAATGTGCTTTAATAAAATATTTATGTTCTTTTCTAAATTGATTTTTAATATCTTGCGTAAAACAAACTGAAAAAATAAAACAAATAAAAACAGGGATGATTCTACTTAGCGGCCCTAAATTTGGCTGGCGGCCCCAAAAAAATTTATGCAAACAAAAATTCCCAATTCAGGAAAAGAAATAAAATTCGATATTTCCGAAAATGTTTCTGTCGCCGATTTAAGCAACTATAATTTTCTAATTTTGTCGTCAAAGCGTTTTAAAATCCAGATAAGAATGCTGTCAACGATCGCATTTTATTAACAACGACTCTATTATTTCAACATGTGGTAAACATGCAGCGGAATAAGACCCTTCATATTCAATGATGAAAATACGATATGGAAGTACTTGATCTCGTAAAAGTAATCTAAATAAGAATGACGTCTTGAAAGGTCAATTTTATTTTTTTGCTGTGATGCCTTACTACGACAGCAAAAACAATTAAATAGCCTTTCAAGACGTAATTATATATAATAATATGTAATAATTATTTGGACTATCGTAAAAGCAGATCGCCAAGCAGGTCGATAAAAAAGATGATTTTTGTCAAAATGGCTATCGTAAAAGCAGACCTTGGCAGAGAAAAATTTTAATTTTGATATAACATTGATGAATTTAATGGGCGCCGATCTCTTAAAAGCAGATCGCCCTGCAGAGCCGGTTATATAATAAGATTGAAACGTTTTATATTTGATATTTTGTCTGGCTCTATTTCCTCAAGACAAAAGTCTGTCTGAACTTTTTTTGAAATTACGTTGATAGATTATTCATGAAATAGGATGTCGACACATTATGGAAATGTTTCAAAAGTTGCGAAGATGATCCAAATAATATTATATTACAATGGTTCAATGCTTAAATTTCCTGTTTCTTAGAGTTACACCTAAGGTAAAACTGTGACATTAGTATAATAGTCCAAGAGTAAAACTATGGCAACCTCCTACATATTAAACAGCAAGCAAAAATCACAAAAAAATATCTTATCAATTAAGTACTAAAACTTTTTTAATTACTTTTCCGCTGAATTCAACAGTAGTCCATTTCAATTTGAAATCCATTTACATCAAGGTAAATTTATAAAGATGAACTGTTGTTGAAAAAAAATACCCAATGGATGATTTTTTTCAGTGGTATATCTTAGCTGCTTTAAATGTAAAAGGTAACACCTAACTAAGATGCATGCCTTCAAAAGATAGTGCATCATATGCAATGATTTTCATGTAACAACTTCCCTGGTCTCAATCCACTAAATGTCAAAGTGATCTGATAATCATATGTATATCATAATCAATAGCCTGTCCAAGGTTATTCCAAATATCAGCAGTGTATAGGTAAAACTTAATACATTTTCTGTTTTTATAAAAAATAATGTTATTTCGTCTAAGATTTATGCATAAAAAATTCCCAATTGGGATAAAAATTCTCAAATTTGATAGTCAAGGGACCCATTTGAAAACACCTGGAATTATCCCTGAAAAATGAATATCCAAAATGGGATATTAATTTCTGTCATAGTTAAAACAATAAGTAATTAAAGTTTAGTTTTGAAAGAAAAGTAATCAGATAATGATTAATCTTAAAATTTAAGAAGATTGTTACTTGCTTAATATCATTTCTTTGATGTCAAATTGATGAACATTAGTAATTATGCTTTTGTCAAGAAATTGTAACAGAAATACAAAACGAGATCACTATAAAAACAAAAGCACCCAAGCTGAGTTCAAGCGAATAAAAACATACATTGGGTTGTTAAATTCTTGAAACAATACAAGCTGTTTGAGCAGTTTTTGTTGAAGTACCGACCTTGCAGCATAAAAGTAACCAGAAATGTTGTTTGCAATAATTTGGAAAACAATAGCCTCGCCATATATTTATGTAATTACTATGAAATAATACTTGTAGTACATGTATTATATTTTATGTTTTAACCATAATGGAATGAATACTTAAAAGTATGGACGATACGTCTTTACAAGGTATGGACGATGTGGCGGTATGGCCCACACATCCTATAGAAGACGTGGAAGTATGGCCGCCACGTCTCGAAAGTGTTTGAAACGACTACCACTACATCACTGACATTACAGGACCACCTGATTCAACTACTGTAACTAAACAAGACCAAAAAGTTTTTAACTTTACAATAAAATTCTTTAATATTGATGTAACAGTCACTTGCATTTTTCATTAAATATGATTGCATTTTTATATGGACAACCAAGAAGAAAAATTATTAAATTTCCCTTGTAACAAGACTTGTTTTGGGTACAGTAACTAACATTTCTAGTAAACATGCATGCATTTTTTTTCTTTCAGCGACTTGAGTATACAAAAATATATGTTCATATAAGTTAATTAACATACCCCCATTCAACAACATGGGACTCGTAATCCCAATATTCCCTTGGTCTCAAAGCATTCACATCTGCATACACTCTGGCTTTACTGGTTGCCGGCATTTTTTTCTTTGTGGTCAGCCTCCGAACCGAACTCGAAAAACCTTTGGACGAAAAAATTCTACACAGACCACTCAAAGAGTGATAAATCTTGTTTCCAAGTTACTTATAACATTGATAGATAAGTTGTTGAATAACAAGCACCAACAATATTTCCGTTACAGGATAACTTTTTGGCGCTTTTCCTACGAGAATACACACCATGCACACTCAAGTCCATACCACACCTTATTACGGGGTAAAATATAACAATTATATGACGATCACAATCATAAGAGTGGACTTATATTTGTTGATGAATGTATAATCTTTAAATTACACTATCTATTTTTTCATTAGGTTTTAACTGTAGTGTGAAAATCGTCCGAAATCAGTGACAGGTCGAGTCATTCTTTCTACAAAATGGCTACCATCACCCAAGAAATAGCAGAAACGAGGCTCAGCGCCTCGTGTAAAGTACGAGTTGTCTCCCGCAAATTCGAAAAAAGATTACAATGCAGCCACTAAGGTGAACGAGTAGCAAATATGATCAAATATAGAAGTCAGATCAAGTCATAGGGGACAGGCGCAGATCGGATCCAGTATGTTTTTAAAGACGGGGTTCTTGATTGTTCAGCTTACAGTAGGGATGTTAGTTCAGCCTGATTTTCGTAAATATTTTCGGTCATTGAAAGAATTTTTAAAAGATTGGATCCGCAAATTGCCGCATATCATAAAGAATATTTGAAGAAAAAAAAAAAAAAAACAGAACAAAACCGATTTTCCCCCAAATATAATCCCTACAGATAATAATATTGTTACCAATACAAGTACAATGAAAAAATACTAACAAAGATAATTATAACTAAATACAAAGACAAACGTTACTAATGGAATCCGTGACACTCCTATCCATAATGGCATGACTCATTTTGTGATAATGTACTCTGAGTATTTCGATCTTGGCATAATAAATGTTTATAGACACCTGCCTGTTGTCACAGTGAAGACATTATTTTGACCTTTAGATGCCCTTTGTTTTATGTCTTCGTGGTGCTTTCCCAATGACCCACACTATAAATCTCAGCGTAAGGCAGATTCCAGTATTTTTTTTTCGATTTGTGTTGCGTCTTGTAGAACACTTACAGGTTATAAAGTGGTAAATTAGATACTTTTTTCAAACTAAAACTTTTTTTTCTGTAAATGAAATATTTTTAAACAATTTTCGGGTGAGAAGTGCCATGTGTAAAATGAGAATCAGTGCCCATGATCTGAAAATTGAAAGAGACATGCAGATATAAAACTTTATAAAAAGAGAGAGATCAGAGGCTTTGTAAAAATCATTATGTAGGTTGAAGATGAGCAGCATTATATTATTAGTTGTCCAGCATACCATGACGATAGAGAGAAATTTTTCGATGAGATAAACCCAATTTTTCACAACTTTCAAGATCGCCCAAAATGAGTCAAATTTTTTTTTTTTTTACTAATATAAATTTGTCTGTCCTTAAATATTTAGGGAATCATATCATTAAATATCTAAATGTTAGACGGAATGTGAATTAATACAGCATAATTATAACTGATGGTTTTTATGGTTCTGCTTTCGTCTGGAATAAAATATACGTACATGATCTAAATGAGATAAAGGAATATATGTAGGTTTATAATTCTATGAATATCTAACAACAATTTCAATGTGAAAATGAGTTACGGAATCAAGTCATGTTATTGTTTGTGTATGTGAATGTCATGTTACCAATCAAGGACCCTTAATTGGAACAATACATATTCGTAAAATTTTCAAAACCTTCTCGGTAACCAATCAGGAATAAAAACACATAGAGAAATGTAAACATGCCAATGATAAACATATATACAGTCAGTATGACATCGATATCAAAACAAGGAAATGTCATGTGATTGCTCATGATACACTATCAATCAGACTATAAACGACATGGATATAAATTAAGCAACAAGAAGTCACTGTATACGATCAACAATAGTGAGCAAAACCCATACAAATACAGGAAAGGCTCCGACATGATGAAATGTAAAACAATTCAAACTAGAAAGAATCCGGCGGGCGCCTGAAATATAATAAATAAATACATCAACAAAAACAAACAAATAAGATAGACAGTAACCAAAGACAATCACTGAACTACATGCACCGAACTTGGAAAGACACCGGGTTAAAACATAGATATAGGAAGATGTGGTATGATTGCCAATGAGACAACTCTCCATCCAAATTACAATTTATAAAAGTAAACCATTATAGGTCAAGGTACGGCCTTCAACACGGAGCATTGGCTCACACCGAACAGCAAGCTGTAAAGGGCCCCAAAAAATTACTAGTGTAAAACCATTCAAACGGAAAAACCAACGGTCTGTTTGTGAGCGAACAATCCTCCTGTAACATGCACATGGACTTGGTCAAACTTTTATCTACCGTATCAGTGTAGAAAGTTTTTATTTTGAACCAAATAATGATTTATAGGACATTCGTATGATTGAATTTCAAATGTGTCTTTAAAATCAAATTCATTGTATTGCCAAAAGTCTTTTGTGGTGTATTTATTTATATATATATGTGAATAAAAGGAGATCAGGGTGAGTAAACGTCAATGAGGCATCAACCCAATGACAAAAATACCCAAAAGACACCAAGAGGGCAAAATACAGTCTTCAACAATAGACATGTGTCTATACTATATTGAAATATGAAATAAGGAGATGTGGTATGATTGCAAATTCACATGCAAGATAAAACTATTCACTAGAGATCAAATGACGTAGAAGTTGGAAACATAGGTCACCGTGCGGCCTTCTACAATGAAAATTATGACATTCACAAACACAAGCATTATTCGCCTTGATTAAATAACACATTTTCATATTGAAATGAAATATTAAATTGTCAAATTATAAATCCCTACTAGTTCTCCATCACATATAAATCATGTACCTTTTATTCTACACAGAAAGTTACTCTTCTACAGACAGACAGCTCGCCATGAGGTAGTGCAGGTTAAAAGGAAGATGTTTTTTCTAAGTGAACTGAGAGTACGATTGTCCAGAGGTAAAATTATACCAAATCAGCATTATAAAAACGCAATAATAACAGTTGTACTATCATGCAGTCAGCAGATGGGGTCATTTGTAGACAGGTGTGGCTTGCACTAGGTTTGTCTATAGGTTTGTCTATAGGTTTGGCTTGTACTAGGCTTGTCTATAGGTTTGTCTATAGGTTTGGCATGTACTATAGGTTTGTCTATAGGCTTGTCTATAGGTTTGTCTATAGGCTTGTCTATAGGCTTGTCTATAGGTTTGGCTTGTACTAGGCTTGTCTATAGGTTTGGCTTGTACTATAGGCTTGTCTATAGGTTTGTACTAGGTCTGTCTATAGGTTTGGCTTGTACTAGGTTTGTCTATAGGTTTGTCTATAGGTTTGGCTTGTACTAGGCTTGTCTATAGGTTTGTCTATAGGTTTGGCTTGTACTATAGGTTTGTCTATAGGCTTGTCTATAGGTTTGTCTATAGGCTTGTCTATAGGTTTGTCTATAGGCTTGTCTGTAGGCTTGTCTATAGGCTTGTCTATAGGTTTGTCTATAGGCTTGTCTATAGGTTTGTCTATAGGTTTGTACTGACTATATGACTACAAAGTGTATTAAGTATTATGCAAATAGATGAACAGAACTTCGAAAACAAACACCTAATGTCATATTTTGTGATTAGCTGGTTCGTGCATAACTTAGATATCAAGGCAAAAATCAGCGGTCGGAATAATGGGATTGCCGTTTGACGCTGCATTCAGACTTCATCAAAACGGTAAATCGACACAAAACTTTATGAGATATTAACAAGTTATCAATGTGTACCATTTACTGCCAGTAGACTTTTGGACCACATATCATTAAACTTTTAATATTTCCAGATGATGGAATTACCAGAACAAAGGACTTGACAATGGCAATCGAACGTTTTCGAAGTAAGTGTGACACTATATTATGGGATTAGATATTTACTTGTATATATATCAAAACAGTTTGATAAAACAGTGATTGTTGTGGTATTCTTTAAATGTTAAAATATTGGTACAAAATGTTTTCAAAATTGCAAGTACTAGCTGTCAAATTTTCATACATGTACTAGTAATTAATCCATCTTTTGGACAGTGGCAAAATCATTTGACCACTATGTGTCAAATGAATATATCTAATACACAATATTTATGATAAACAGTCCAGCATTTGTTCGCTATTTCAGATGGTATAGTTGACATTGATATTTTGATAAATGCATTTTTTTGGCATTATATACATGTACCTGGATATTATAAAAAGAGATATCTTAGTTTTCTAGGGGAGAACGGGGAAGTCATCTTGTGAACATGCAGGGGAGATTGAAGGCTAAAATCCTCTTGTGAAAATGTAGGGGAGATTGAAGGCTGAAATCCTCTTGTGAAAATGTAGGGGAGATTGAAGGCTGAAATCATCGTGTGAACATGTAGGGGAGATGGAGGCTGAAGCCCTCTTGAGAACATGCAGGGGAGATTGAAGGCTAAAATCCTCTTGTGAACATGCAGGGGAGATTGAAGGCTAAAATCCTCTTGTGAACATGCAGGGGAGATTGAAAGCTGCAGTCCTGTTGTGACCATGCAGGGGAGATTGAAGGCTGAAGTCCTCTTGTGAACATGCAGGGGAGATTGAAGGTTGAAGTCCTGTTGTGAACATGCAGGGGAGATTGAAGGCTGAAGTCCTCTTATGAACATGAAGGGATGATTGAAGGCTGAAAATCCTCTTGTGAGCATGTAAGGTAGATTGAAGGCTAAAGTCCTCATGTAAACATGTAGGGGAGATATAAGGCTGAAATCCTCTTGTGAACATACACAGGGGCGGATCCAACCATTTTCAAAAGGGGGGGGGGGGGGGGGGGGGGGGGGGGGGTTCCAACCATATGTAACCATTCAAATGCATTGATCGTCCAAAAAAAGGGGGTTCCAACCCCCGGACCCCCCCCCCCCCCCCCCGTGGATTCGCCACTGATACAGGGGAGATTAAAGGCTGAAGTCCTCTTGTTAATATGTAAGGGAGATTGAAGGCTGAAGTCCTCTTGTGAACATGTAGAGGAGATTGAAGGCTGAATTCTTTTTGTGAACATGTAGGGGAGATTGAAGGCTTAAGTCCTCTTGTGAAAATTCAGGGGAGTATGAAGGCTGAAGTCCTCTTGTGAACATGCAGGGGGAGATTAAGGGCTGAAGTCATGTTGTGAACATGCAGGGGAGATTGAAGGCTGAATTAAGTCATCTTGTGAACATGTCACCATCTACACTAGATCTGGAATAAAGATTAGTACCATCACCTCTCGTTTGTCCTATATTTCCAAACAATGGGCTAGCTCCATTTCAAAATATACCCGATGCCACTCAGAACATTTGTGAATTTTACAACGAATT